CCCATACCTACAAAAAAACCCTGTCAGAGTCAGGGCGGGGGAAAAATCATCAGTCTAAGGATACCAGTCCTTGCGGGTGGAATTTTTTTTTACTTTCGCATTGACTGAAATTGTATATGATATTCAATAAAATCTTCTTTTAGAAAAACAAGTTTGCATATTATTGTTTTAGGCAACTCATTTTTAAAATGCTGTACAGCTAGCCTCAACAGTGAGTATATGCTAGTCGTATTTGACTCGCATACAGCCAATACTGGTTCATACTGCTAGCCACTGCCTATTCCTCTACCAATTCCATGAATACTATTAGTATAATAATCAAATAGATGTTAAACAATAAAAGTAATGATGACTTAATATGATGTATATAAAATTCCGCTGCTAAAGACAAGTTGTTTTTATTGATTGTTTATATCAACAAAGGTAATGAAATAGATAAATACAGAATCCCTAAAGAAAGCCTAACACGGCAATATTGAAAATGTTGCAGGCTCGGTTTGATTGAGCCTGTTCATGGACGGAACTGGAAAGTGCAAGTTACCGTCCACGCCCCCTAGCACCGGCTTAAGCAGAATTCAACATTTAACATGAACTGGTAAAATTTAGAATTTTGAAACATCCGCAGATGTGTTTATATGGCGGTTATCATGGAACCTTCAATGTGACACGTTAGTGCCATTCCATGAAAAGCGGCATATGGTCCCCAAGTAAAAAATGTGTGTGCCCTAAACGAGAAAACAATGGACGGAACTAAAAAAAAATGGAATTTTGAAAGGGGATCTGAGGTTTATGAAGTAAGTTTATCAAGTTTCCCGGCAACAGAGTTGTGTGAAAAAAATGTCAATTTGATTAGCCCTTGAAGCAACCATGCACAACATGTGTATTAATAAATCCTTACAATTATCAAGAAAATAGAACAATTATTTTATCAGCACGTAAGCAATAAAGACGTTATTTGACTGGTTTACAGAGAAAAATAGTTGAAAGTATCTTGACAGGTATTAATTGGAAATAGATACACAGTTCAACTGTTAAATGGAAGCGGTCAATCAGCTGTTTCGAAAATGAAAGTACACACCAAAAACACTTCAAATTCACATTCTTTGCGTAATTAATTTACAGAGTGCGTAAATGAACGCAACAAATTGTTAACGGTAAACCTAAGCTTGTACGTTTTTAGTTGATTTTAAAGCGTAAAATATGCCGATATTCACATTATCTGGAATCTGTTATATTTAATAATATAATCAGTTATCTTAATTCTTATTATTATCGACCTGTGGTTTTGAATTTTAATACAACTACTTTTTTCAGATATAAATGTCTATAAATTTACAAATAAAAAATCTATAAAATTATGGACTGACCATAAATATCATGAAATCCTACATCATCAGTACATCTGATGAAGGCAAAACCGTGAAAATCAGATCTACATGTATGAAATAAGTATATCTTATTTTAAGTCATATTGAATTACGGACAGGGCGGACTGTGACTCAAGATTAGGCGGACCGTGATTTAAAAAGTATTTATATGTGGACTAATGTAATAAAAGTATTAAATTATTGATGTCCCAAAATACGGTCCGCCTAGTCTCAAGTCACAGTCCGCCCTGGTACGGTCCGCCCTGTCTCACGGTCTGCCCTGTCCTGCAGGGGTCATATTGTATTTAACAATTATAATTATTATACTAGTCCTTTAAATTTTGGGACCTCTCATAGGATAGGATTTTATTCATTACAGGTCTGGGGCAGTACCTCCAGTCGCTTGCAAAAATCATGATCATAAAATTGAAAACTATCATTTTTCACCAATTATTATATTTTACCTGTATATCATGACAAGTTTTGGGCCTATCTTGTTAAGCTTAGATAGCTAATACAGTAAATTGTGTAATAGACTGATAGAGATGTGTTCAAAAAGTAGTCAAAAAATGTAATAATAATTTAAGAAAAAATATCTTTCCAGGTTTCTGAATAAGTCCAGATATTAATTATGTGGTTTCAACAATAAAAAATGATAAGAAAAACCAATATGTTAATAAAATTGAAAAGTGGACCGAGTTGAAAAAAGGCCGAGCTGACACGGGGCCGAGTACGTTTTAGGGCCGAGCTGACACTGCACTAAAATTAGCAGTCTATCAAGCGAAATATATCAATAGCTTTAACCAGATTGTGAAGAAAAACTTGATTATACATACGGAATTGATTGCAACCAAAATATCAACGTAATAGCTGTGACTTCCTAATTGATAGCAGATCTTCTCAACCTTTACTCGGAATAACTGACCAAGATGGCGATTTCGGGAAAATGACGTCAGAGGGAAAATAGTTCGTATTCATACGCATACAAATTTTTACTCTGTCATTCGCACTTTTTAACCATTTTAAGCTTGAACTGTTGAAAGTTATCTAATTTGAAAATCGTATTCCATCTTCCTGAATTATTGTGTTCTATATGATAGTTAGTTAATTTATGACTTGATAAAATTGGCACCAACTTTTTGTAAGTACTTTGGCTCTCATGCATCGGGAACCAGAAGGTAGAACAAATAAACTGGTTCTCATTAAATTTTTATCGACTGCTAGCGTAGTAATATTCAAATCGCGTAAAGCAATGGTATTTGTAATTTTGTGATAAAAGGATTTAAAATGAAGTAATAAAATGACCAGTCAATTTTAAATTAGATAAGGTATTATGATGATCTGAATATTATGGCAAAATATTGGAACTATTTTTGCTCAGCGCAGCTAGATAGCCTAAATGCGTTCAGAAGGTAGTAAGTAAGTATCGTAATTACATTGGGGGCTTGCGCCCCCAAAAACCAACAGTAGGCCACTATGTTCACAAAAAAGCAGCATTTCATCATCATGTTATTTTTTCTTGGTTTAAACATATTTATTCAAGCTTGATTGCAAAACAAGTTCTTGCAACTAATATTAATCACTTTCAAGTCCGCTTCCTTGAACCAACCAGTACTGGTGTCATATGGAGGAACATGGTCGTAACCCAATTAGAGCTCTAGCCGATGATCCATGGGTTGAGATGCAGACACCTTAACTACTAGGCCAACGCTCTGCTTTTTTTTTCTTACATTTACGTTTGTATTTCACATCAAACCTATGAGTATAAGCAATGAAAAAATGATTCTTATGAAGCTTGAATATAAAGTGAATATAAAGTTTTCAGCATAACCTTGTTGTTAGTACCTTGTAATTATTATTAAAAGAACACTTTATGATGATGTTACAGTAAATCTGCAATTTATGTTTCAGTACTGTATATACCGGTAAGATTGGAATACACATGTATCTAACTGTAAAGATGTGTGCAATGTAAATTTAAAATATTTTGATAACATTGCAAGGTACTAATACTATTTTGTATATTTCAGAAATTATTAGATTAAGTAAAATATAAGTTATGTATATTTCCCATTTTCCAACTATACCTCAATTATGAAGGGATATATTTAATTTTATCACCCTATAAAAACACTTTTTTCTTGTTTTTAATTTTCAAAGAGCCGACCTATTTTGATGATTAGTACATAATTTCATGCTTTTATGAACAAAGTTCTATTTTCTGTCGCAAAATACTGAAATTTTATTATGTTTTATAGCTCTGTGAATTTTTCTATGGACAGATACTTGTATAATGACCAAATGGCCAGAGGAGAAGCATTTCATATATGTTTTGTTTTTGTACCTTTAAAGTATGACCATCCTACTGTATTACCTCCGCTTTGAAGAGTTAGGCTAGAATTAATGTCAACTGCATTGAAACTTAGGGCCATGGGTTCAAACCCCAGAAGGGTCAACTTTTTCTTTCTTTCTTTTTTTCTTTTACCATTTTTTTTGTATCTCTCATTTCCCCTTTTAGAAAGAAAAGTGTTTAATTTTAATTATATAATAAATAAGTTTATTATTCAAATTCCATAAGGCCACATGGCCCGTGAGGATACACAATACAATATTTATATGACAAGACAGTGTACAAAAATAAATTTCAAACAAGTTTTAAACAACAACGGAGAAGGTTTACATTCATTTGCATGTTGAAATATCTTAGTATATTAATAAATATAGGTATTTATTTTTTTCTTCATACATAATTTTCTATAACCAGCAGTAGAGAAGGTAAGAGATAACTCACAATGTGTTTGTCAATTCATGTTTCGGAGACAACTATTCAATAGGTGTTCATACACTTGTAGGAATTAAACACAAATAGACAGGACCTCAGTTAAAATTTCATCCAAATGACTAGTTAATTAAGTTAATGTAGTAAAACTAGCAACCCTTGGGCTTGTAGTCATTGTAACTACTTTATTTGTCTTTGTCACAAATTAAGTTACAGACAACAAAAAAGAATATAACTTGGAATCTGCTAGAACAATTAATGTCAATGACAAAATTTATATAATTCTATACTTTTTTTTTTTTTAAATGCGTTTAATTAAGGTCGCCGCCGGAAAGCCCATATGGGCGACCGTACACTCAAGTCCGGCCATCCTAGAGCGTCCCGCCGAGATTTTTCGTCGATTTTTTCCAGCTTTATTGGTGGAGGAAGACCCCAGGTGCCCCTCTGGGCATTATTTCAGGCACGAGCTGGCACCTGGGTAGAACTACCGACCTTCCGTAAGCCAGCTGGATGGCTTCCTCACATGAAAGAATTTGATCCGTAAGCCAGCTGGATGGCTTCCTCACATGAAAGAATTCGACCGAGTGAGGATCGAACCTACAGCGGCCTTCACCACTGGGGCCTTAACCACTGGGCCACAAGGCCCCCTAATTTTATACATAACAAATGATAATACATGCACTACTAGTATTGGTTTTAAAATAGGCATTTTTTTCAATATAATGAAAACAATTGTAATAAAACTTGACATCACTCTTTAAGCTATGACCTTTTTTCAAAATAGTTGTAAAAAAAAAATGAAAGTACATGTACTGTAATACAAATCAGTTCAAGGGAGGTAATAAAACTTAGTTCAAAAAGGGAGGTAATAAAGATCATAATTTTGACAAAAGATTAAAAGCTGACTAGATAATAACATTATTTATACACACCTTCAATTGTTGAAACAAACTCCTTGCCATTTCTATCAACATTTGTAGACAAAATTCTAAAATATTTTGTTAAATCTACTGAAAACTGAAAATCAGTGGGTGTGATACCATAGTGATGGTAGTTTGTAGTCACATTTTCTTTTGAAAGGTAATGAAAGACATCATCTGGAAGGTTTCCATATAGTCTGCTGTCTTTGTAACCTAGAAATTACAGAGAAAATCCAATATACTAATCTGTATGTCTACAAACCAGCCCTAATCCATATAAAATATCAGCTAGAGTCACACTGTAAGTAAAAACCATCTGAATAGCTCTATATCTAAAGCATTTGACTGTGAATCGGGATTTGAGTTCGATTTCAATTGTGGCTGATCATGAAATCTTTTCTATGGTCAATTGCACTGTACCTGTGCTTGTTTTGTACAAAAGTTATAACTTCCACGAAAAGTAAAGGCAACTAGTACTGGTAAACTGCCTGACAGCCTTCCCAGGAACCACAAGTTGGCTGAACTGTGCTCTGGTGAATTCATATTGGCTTAAATATCCAGACTAAGAGGGTATACTACCAACACTAACCCAACCTTCCACTGTAACTGGTAGTTTGGACAAACATTGCAATTATTATTTTGTTTTTGGACCCCATAGTATGACCTGCTCAACATAAAGTATGACCTGATAAACCAATGTGATTCTCGAGTGTGAAACACTGTCTCTTAATCAGACAAACAATTATGCTGTTATCCAATGCTAAGCTACAACAGTGACTCAGAAGAACTTCCAAACACACAAAGTCATGTAAAAACTACACTTCCTTAGAGTCAAACTTACTTAAAGAAAAACTCACCATCAGAAAAGTTGAGAGGCAGCATCAAGTTTTCAGCATCAAACTCGGTCATTAAATCCTTCCCTGTTGCCAATGCTGTTAAAAGTTGGAATCCCAGACATGTTCCCCATAACGGAAAATAGTCACCATTTTGATTGGCCTGTTAAAAAAACTGTGTTATTACATACAGTATCTAACTTTGTGGAAACAACCTTTTTTTATTATCTTGCATAAAGTTGGTTTATTACAAACAAAATACAAACAGGAAGTTGGAACTTATATATACAAGAGGTTCAAACAAGAACACTGAGGGCATAATACAAGTTACGTGTTATGTGCTATAAAATTTTTAACATTCCAACGCATCAATAAAAAGATTTTAAGCGTGCTTATGATAATGTCATTCAACCTTAATGAATGAAGTTTTAAATTCACATGCTACATGCGATACAGTATATATACCGTATATATATATATAAAAATGCTTAATAAAAATATGTCTTTATAACATCCTTTTTTACAAACAACATGTATAATTACTACAAATAATAATCCATCAGAAATGGGAATATCCGGCTGCAGAGCCTTAATCACAGATGGGAAAATCTGGCTCTCATGTAATTATATATAGTAGAAAGGTAATTATACATGTATATAGTAGAAATTAGGAGAACCCATAGTCACTACTGCCTTTAAGCCAGATCTTACAGTCAGTAGCAGCATCTGATGTAGGATTCTTTTATTGTTTAGGATTTCTATCTATATAAATTAACCTGAATTCAAGTGGCAAAATGGAAGTTGATGGTCACCTGTATAGAGACAAGCCAGTCGGTATATGTCTGATAAACTTTATACCGTAGAATGTAGAATCAAGTGAATTCTAGTTGTTTTGACATTTACATATCAAAGATGTTTTTAATAATGTTAAAATAATGGATATAGAGCATGTTAAATTTTAACAGCTTAAGAAGTTGCACTCAACATGCAGAGCCTCACAGATGGGAAAATCTGGCTCTCTGTTGAGTCCTCATTACAGTCATTGTTAAGTTAGCAAAATGTAAACACAGTAGTATTTTGACTTCCATACAAAATACAAATTCAGTATAATTATACTTAGTGCCAACAGAGCTAAAGATGCAAAAGATAATTCAGGTTGTCAAACTGTAACAAGATGTATAAAAAATAAACAGTTTTAGAGAAATAATTTAACAATGAAAGCATTTCTGCAGCACAATGGGCCTTAAATCTGATAAGCATCATACCTTTATTATGGTTTGATTTTAATAAAAGAGAGTTTGGTCTTATACACAAGACTTATTTACATATAATGACATCTAACCTTGATAGCTGATCTATAGAGAATCTGTGCTGCTTTAGCATACTCTGAAGTCAGTATGTTGACACCACCACCAGGAAACAAAACTCTACAATTACATGTACCGGTATATAAGCAAATATATAATTGGCTAGAAATTTCATATAATTGTTCCAAAAATTGGATTTAATCATGTAATTTCATATGAGTCACGTCATATTGCAAAATAATTTCAAAAGTCATTTCAAGATCTCATATAGATGGATATCATGCAGATTGGTGGTGTTTTTTTTTAAGAAATAAGATCTAAAATGCCTATTTTTGGCTATGATTAAACAGTCTTTGAGTTTAATAATATGCTACTGATTTTTTAATTAAGTTTTGCCATTATTGAATTATTATAAGATTTGATTACTTTTTTAATTTGGTTATTTATAATGCCTTTTGTGTTTTAACAGAATTAATATTTTTTATAATATTTCTAAGTCTCACCCATTGATTGAACTGAATATGTGATCATAATAAGCCTGTCCTTTCTTCACACTGAAAATATAAATTTTATTTTAGCATTATAGAATAAGAAACAGTCTTTTTTAGTAATAAAACATACAGGTGAAGAATAAATGAACTATAATAACCACTATAGAAAGCTTAAAAAAAATGCAAATAACCTTTTTTTCATAAATCATCATCAATTTGCCAGTGTTTTAATTTATATCCTGGATAATATATATTTAATTGATGAGGTTTTAAACAGGCAACTTAATAATCTAATTAGAGTAATTGTATTTAATTATTTCATTTATTGTGAATTTAGTAAAACAAGAAATCCGAAATTTGGCAGGGGTCTCATCACATCTTGAAATGAGTATGAAACCCTTTAATTAGTTCTTATGTTTATTGTGTACAATGTACACTCATAAATTTGTATAGAAATGTTAAAGATAATTTCTTCTGCAAATTGACATCCATGATTTATACCCTTGTCATAAAGGATGAACTCCATATGGATCTTCAAAATTGACTATTGGTAAAAATCCTATGTAAATTTGCACAGATCCAGACACATTAAATAGCAAGAGATTATTATAGCCGCGCCATGACAAAACCAACGTAATGGGTTTGCAACCAGCATGGATCCAGACCAGCCTGCGCATCCAAGCAGTCTGATGAGGATCCATGCTGTTCACTTACAAACCCTATTACAAGTAGAGAAACTAATAGCGAACAGCATGGATCCTGATCAGACTGCGCGGATGCGCAGGCTGGTCTGGATCCATGCTGGTCGCAAACCCATTATGTTGGTTTTGTCATGGCGCAGCTCGTATATTGTTTAGTTACTTACAATATAGGAACAGCTCTGGCTCCTGCCATTTCCACATATTTGAAATAAGCAGCTGGAATAAAGGTATCTCCATAATGTTTCGACTCCGAATCAGTCTCTTGGGCTAAAACACCTAGAAAATAATAAAATTTTTGTGTTTTCTGCTTATTTTTCCATCATTTTCTTCTGATAGCATAAAGTAGAATTGATCATTTAAAGGGATACTCAGGCAAAATAATGACAAAAATATCAAAATGATCTTGTGTACTCAAATCACCTTAAAATGACATTTCTTAAAGTCAAAGCACTAATTTTTGTATATATTTCTATGTATTTTGGGTTTGAAGCTTTCATATGTCTGCATATGTTGATCGAAATTTAGACGCCTGAGCAGAATCACCGAATACTGTAAAAACAAGTCATGTGGCTTGAACAAAACCCAGGAAGTTACAATAAGAGATATTGTGGATATTGTATGATTTAAACACGTCTAAGTAATTGATTTGACATGTTCTTTAACGTTTCCAGAGTTCCAGTGACAACTATTGTGAAATCTTAGCGCTCTAACCTGACCTACGCGGGTCAAGTTAGGAAAACACCATTTTATTATTTATATGGAGAAAGGTTTTGTTTTTTGGACTGTCTAATATATTCATTTTTGAGGTCATTTACAGAATAAAGACTGAAAAATTCAAAACTAAGATATTAAAATTTTGCCTGTGTCTCCCTTTAAAACTGGATTAAAATCTTATAATCATGAACAGCAAAAACATTGTGAACAACCTTTAATGCAGTTAAGCAAAAGACATTACCCTTTGGGATAAGAACATTTCTTAAACTTTATTTTTAGCTTCTGTGACTTACGTATGTATCAGACTGAAATCACTTGCATATCTGTTGTAAAGGGTCACCTATTAATGATCATTCCTGAAGTTTGATCAAAATCTGCTTATCGGTTCAGGAGGAGAATGATGTTGTTTAAATATATTGCAAATAGCCATGAACAATAGGCGACAAACCACAGACACACAGATACTAAAAATGCTCACCTCTATGCACAAAGTGTTGAGGTGAGCTAAAAACAAAATAATGACTGCTTGATAAAGAGTTAACAAACAAATGAATAAATAGCGGCATGGCCGGGTGGTTAATGCGTCAAACTAGTAATCTAATGATCACTAGCTGCATGGGTTCAAACCCTGTCAGGGGCAAGTCATTGTTTCCTTGAGCAAGAAACTTTACACTTATTGCTCAGTACTGGTTGGTTCCACATAATCGAACTAAAATAAATTCTGTAAAAACCAAACAAATGAATATTCATAATCCTAAAACAAGTTTCTTTATGAATAACACAATAACATGATATACTTCCTAACAATGTTGAATCATAATTATGATTGTCTTTTCATTGATAATAACTGTATACCTATTATTGGCCTATTATTATGGTATCCCCATGTACAGCATATTAAACATAGCACCACAGCATATTGCAGAATCATTCTGTTGTTTTATTTCTGTAAAATAAAAATTTCGAGTTTAACTGAAGGGCTGAAAGAAAATGGTTTAATTGAATAACTTAAGTATTCAATGTAACACATGCTGACTAAAATTTCTATAAAGTTTCATGACTTTAGGTCAAATACTTTTGGACTATGCTTGGCACAGATTGAAAAATGCAGATTTTAACTACGTCAAGGGCAATAACTCTACAAATAATGATTTAATCCACAAGCAAAGTCCCAGGTGCACAACTTTACATGCTTAACAACATTTCATGACTCAAGGCTAAATACTTTTTTGGCAAGGCGAGACACAAGTTGAAAATTGAATATTTTTATAAAGTCAAGGGCAATAACTCTAAAAAATACTTAATTAGTCCACAAGACACCCCAGGTGCATAACTCTACATGCTGACCAACATTCCTGTATTAAAAATTTTCATTACTCTAGGTCACTAGGTCAAACAATTTTTAGAGCTATGTGTAGCACAATGTTCATAAGAATACACAATACACTTGGACAGACAAAGGCAAATCTATATGCCCTTCCACCCTATAATGGGGGCATAAAAATGAAACTGCTCTATTATCGTCCCTGTTGTTGGAGAGAGATACATATACATTGATATATACAGCCGCATACATACAGTATGCATGTATACAGTATCTGACCAATGTTTATTGGCAGTTTAACATTGGCTATTTTCTTTTTTGGGCGTTCAGTGAGTATAGTGACAGAATCATGAGGCATGTTAAATGTCCTTTGATTCGTATACACTACCAGTAACGGTACAATTGACCATTATCAGATTATATTTTGCTAGACCTGTTTACTGTCGCATCAAGTAGAAAATTATAAAAGATACATAGACTACAGGACTAGGAGTAGGAAGTGAAAGTGAGAAATCATGTGACACTGATCAGCTGATATGTAATGACAATGATAATATCTACGACTGCCCTCCTTCAATTACTGGTTCTAAATACATTTTAAGATATAAAACATAGACGCTACAGTATGTAAGTCTGATTTCATCAACTGAACAAAATTACTTATGCTGTTGACCCGTATTTTCGGGGGTTTAAAGTTTTAAATTTAAGCCACCGTTTTTAAATTAATAGTAAATGGAAGACAAAAACATCAACAGTGAGTCAAAACTATGAAAAACAAAAAGGAACCGTTTAAGATACGAAAATAAACTATTTCAGTAAGAAATCCTTATCTTTCTACTTTCAATATCGGTAGTCTGTGTCTCTCGGAAGCTGTCTCATATGTTCGGGGATTTTGATTGGATGGCCTCGTTTTGGTAGTTACGTTGCGCGCGCTTAAATTCTATACTGCACTCAATATATTTCGGGACATTGGTTTAAGTTAGGCGTAAGTCCCGGTGATGAATTTTTAGCGAAGATACGTTTTTTTGTTCTTTTTTGTTGCTGTGTAGTTGAAAATAACGTATAAAAATGAGAAAAGAGTTTAAAGTTACTTTTTTATCCTGACTTTTCTGCAAAGGAGAGCTCTTGTTTACTTTTTTTGAGCAAATTTTCTTCGATTCTTTAGCATCAGACAACGAGATAGAAATAGACGAAAAATCGTTACCCTTTAAAGATTTTACAGCGTCTCTCTTTTCTTTAAGTTTGCGTCTTAATTCTGCCTTCTCCCGCTGGACGATAAGCTCTTTTTTCTTTCTTTTTCTAATTTTTTCAATTCCTCCTTCATGCTATCCAGATCTGAGTCCTCAGAATCAGCAGAACGCTTGCTTCTCACAAACTGAAATCCCACAGGGCTTCGATTCCTCCAATAAAACCCGCAGAAGCAGTCGGCAACTTATTTACCTCTTCTCCATTGTCGTCCGAAATCCACGGTTCTCCTTCGATCATTTTTTTTATAGTCTACGCGACCTTTTTTCCTTTCAGTAGTCCTTGAAGACATTTTAGAATAGAATAATAAACCCAGCAAGGGTCTATATCCCTTCAAATGAGAAATTAATTTCTAAATTAATATGAATGTCCAGTGATAACTTGAAACTTTAAAACTTAATGAAATGAAAAGGCGGGAATGCCACACCCTAAAAACAACTTCGAGAAACTTTTTCTTTTTTTTTTTTTTTGAAAATCAAGCGACACTACAAAAATACTAATAGCAATGAAAACTGGAAACAAGTCCCTATAAATAGCCAAGGTGTATGAATATCAAATATAAACCAATGAGAAGTTGTTTTGTTGATGCTAAGAAACAGACACTAAAAATAGAACTAAAAAAGGTAAACAATCCAATGAAGCGTAATTAGTTATTTTAATGCTTAAAATAATTCCATTGGTTTAAGTTAGGCGTAAGTCCCGGTGATGAATTTTTAGCGAAGATACGTTTTTTTGTTCTTTTTTGTTGCTGTGTAGTTGAAAATAACGTATAAAAATGAGAAAAGAAATAATTGTAATTGAAATGACATTGACAGATTTATATTTATGTGTTTAATATGTTTAGTACGAATTCTAACGGTAGTAATTAATAAAAATAAGTGTTGGCGAAAACTTGATTCTTTTTGGAGAGTCCAATCAATCGCACAAGCTGTCATTCACGGCCGGAAATGACGCCACGAAAATATGAGAACCCCCGAAAATATGAGAACAAGGCATACGTTACGTAATCACAACAGTAGCTACAGTACAAATGAGGTTTATAAAACAAGGGAAATTACTCTGAACATCTATACAGTAAGTACTCGTCTGCGCTGCTTGTTTGTTTGTTTTTCCATCCTTTTTAGCTTGCTTTGTTTTATTGTCTTTTAAACTTTGTATTTTATGCTAGTTTATCCTTGCTGTATAAGACTGTGCATGCAATTTCCTTTTAGTTAACTTTGTATGCATTCAATTCTGTTTGATTATCACAATTTATATAATCTTAAAAAATAAATCAAGCACAGAAGCATGTTCTATATTTAGATTCATAGATATTTTTTTCGTCGCAGCGAACTGCTGTTTCAACAAAAAAAGAGACTAGATCAATTTATTGGTAAAACAGACAATAAAAGGTATAAATATTATAATTATTTAAGATTTTTATTAGCCTGCTTAAATGCATCATTTTACGACAGTTGCAAGACAATTCGTACCCAGGGTATTTCGTACCATGCTCGTGCACGACTTACTCAATTTGATCAGAATTTGAAATACTAACTTACCTTTTTATCTCTAATCTTTGTGGAGCTAAGGACCAAACTGGAGTGGATGAACACTAAATATCATTTCTATATTGTGGTGTTTGCTCTATGTTCAATAAAAATACCCCTGGCCCTGTAAAACATTATGAACAAAGAAACACAGGAAACAGCTGTTAAACAAATATGATTTTTTTTATTTGTAAATGCTAACCTTCAACCTTTGAATAAACAAGATACTTATTTGAAACTTATGGTCATATTCAGAAATATTTTGGGTTTAGTAGTAGATACGACTTAACAGGCATGAGTATTGGACCTGGGAAGAAAATATGACCAGATTAATAAATAAGAAAAATATTACATACATTCGTATGTAATATAGGTACGATTGCATACTACTTTTTGTGAAGACTTTTTATGTTTGCTGCATTGAAGGTGTAATGTAAAATGAACAAAAGTGTCATGAGATATTTTATATCTTTAAACATTTTCATGGAATGTAATTAATGTATCATCATATTAAAGTTGCATGCCTTCAGATGAGAAAAATGATTTCAAGGAAATCAAAATATGAATAGAAAATTCACAGTCAATTGACTGCTTTGAAGCATAATCACAAAATAAAATTACAGGAAATTAAAAACCTTTTTAAAGGTAGAATTTCATTGTAAATCATAGTCGCAGATTTGAGATATGATTATTTATTCATATTAACATCATTATTGGTTATTTATTGATAAAAAAACCTGAAAGACACAGTTTGTAAATATTGATTACAATAAAATATGAAAAAGGTTTTTTCCATCCTATGCGACGCGCCAAGGTTAGCTATATTTATAATTCCCACGTTAAGTCGCAGTGGTGCTTGGGATAATCACTTGATACTGTAAATGGCAGCCATTTTACGATACGAAAATGCCTGGTTTATCCTGCCGAAAAGATATGAAAAAATACTTGCAATTCAAAGTTTGTTTGCTACATAAAGATTATCGATTTACTCTTTTTCTCTGCCTGATTGTAATAATATTGATGTGTTTTCATTGGCTTATTAAACCATCACGTTATCAATACACATGTAGGTGTGAACTAATTTCGTGTTCATTAAAATTATTCCGTTAATAGACATTTAACAATCTTATTTACAAATGAATTGATAAAACAACAATCCCTGAAGCATTTATTAGATAATAACAATCATTGGAAAAAAATAAATGCGTATAAATTGTAAATTTGTGTATGACAACTCACCCCCTAAACAAAACATAATAGACTCAACCAAAACAAGCGTCTGCTTCTTTACCTTACTATGTAGTTGCATGACCATGATTAGCAATAGCAAACCAAATTTAAGAGCTAAAGCTATTGTAAAAATAATACTGTGCCAAAAACCAGGGTTACAGATATTTTTGAAATTAAATTTAATTTTTTGTTAAATTTTCACATTGATATATGTCTCAGAATAAAAAAAGAGGTCAAATTATACTTATAATCAGTAATATATATAAAATTAACAAGACTGTTATATAATCCATTAACATCACCACAGTCCACTTCAAAGCGGCTTGTTAGCTTG